TTTGTGCGGGAGTGAGAGAGAGAGCGCGCGAGCTGCGCGAGCGAGAGAGCGAGAGAGGGTGTGAGAGCCTGTGTACCGGATACGCATTTTCTCACATGTTTATTGCATAACCATAAAAACGCGCCGCAATGAACTTATTGCCGTCTTTCTCTCCGTCTCTCTCCTGCAACCTGCAACGCTTTGCAGCTCTGCATCACGCCGTCTCTCTCGCTCTCTCCCTCTCGCCTGGACGACCAGCCGAGCCGGCCAGCAGGAATCCCTCGCAGCTTGTGTGTGCGAGTGCCCTGTGTGTGTGTGTGTGTGTGGGGGGGGGGGGGCAGCCAAGGTACACAGCCAGGTCCCAAAGCCCCTGGCGCCTCGTAATCCCGCCCCCGCCCTCTCCTCACGTGATAACAACGACTTTCATTAACGCCTCAGCCGTTTCGGATAAAGAAAAGAAAAGTTTGCGAATCCGTCTGGATCAGGACCAAGTGGTGCTTGACGGGGCCTTCCGTGTGGTCCCCGACCGGGGTGGGAGCTGCCTAGGGCTGCCCCGTCGCGACCAGGTGGTCCGAGCCGTGCCCGTGGGCTGGCTTGACGCGGTGCTTTGAGCGGTGGTGCTTGACGCGGTGCTTGATGCGGTACTTGTTTTGCCTGTTGCAGTCTCCGGACATCGGCGCGGAGTTGACGGGCGGGTGCTACGGCTTCGCGGCCAAGTACATGCACTGGCCGGAGGACCTGGTGGTGGGCGGCGCCAAGAAGAACAAGACGGGCCACATCCAGCGCGCCTCGGCCCTGCAGACCGTCATCCAGCTCATGAGCGAGCGGGAGATGTTCGAGTTTTGGAGCAAGACGTACAAGGTTCACCACGTCGACTGGACGCAGGAGAAGGCTGCCCTCGTCCTGGACGCGTGGCAGCGACGCTTCTCCGACGAGGTGCGCAAGGCCATGAAGAAGGACATCCGAGACCTGGGCGTGACCTCGCCCTACAACGTGTTCGCCTTCTCCACCGCCACGCTCAACGACATCCTCGGCCAGTTCTCCGAGCTCAACGTGATCAAGATCGCCATCGGTTACGTGCTCATGGTGCGTCGTGGACTCGATCAGTTGGAAGGGGGAGTCCGCACATGTTCAGTACTGACCTCTTGTGTCTGATTTCAGCTGGTGTATGCCGGAGTGTCCTTGCTGCGCTGGCAGGACCCCGTGAGGTCGCAGGCGGGTGTCGGTATCGCCGGGGTGGTGCTCGTCTCCATCACGGTCGCCGCGGGGCTGGGCTTCTGTGCACTGCTGGGCATCGCGTTCAACGCGTCCACCACCCAGATTGTGCCCTTCCTCGCCCTCGGCCTTGGGGTGGATGACATGTTTCTCATCACTGCGTCTTACGCTGAGCAGGATTTGACTGAAGTTAAATCACACGTAAGTTGTACTAAAAATGCAAAATAAATTGAAATGATCTACTTATATTTTTTGTTGA